GGCAAGGCTCACAAGAGGGGGGCAGAACTTAGGAACTAAGAGAGAGTGCAAGTGTAGAAGTGGAATTCTGAAAGGGGAAAAGGAAGAGGGAAGCAATTCACATTAACATACATAGGGGATAGGGAATGGAGGAATTTGCAAGAGCAAAAGAAAAGCAGGTTGATGGGCACACCCAGCAATGGGATATGCCGGCACACCCTCCAGCTTGTTTATATAGAGGTTAAGACCCCATTGGGTCAAACTTAATTCATGGACAACAATTCATGTTGCCATGCCTTAAGCCACAACTCTCAAATACATAGGGGCAATAGGGTAGGGGAGCAAGGATTCATAACAGAAACAGACAGAAAGATATGAGCATACTTAATTTAAATAGAAACAGTAAAGTAGACATGGATAAAAGCTGTAAATGAACACATTGTGGTGATGCTGAAACTTAAATTAGGACATACCAGATTCAAAGAAACAAATAGAGAAAATGCAGTAGTCTTGTAAAAGCCACAGTGCAGACAAGAAAGAGAGTAAGAGTTCAGAAGAGATTGTGAATTGTGAAGTGGAGGATTGTTAAATCGTGTGTTTGTGAAAAAGGGGCGTGCCTTTTATAGTGTAAAAATCAGGAAGAAATAAGGTAAGAAAATAGTTGAAGAACTGATTGTCAATCAATTACACAAGACTCCCTTTAGTTAAGGGATTCGGATTCAAACAGGTGAAACCCAATTAAGGAAAGAAATTGAATAAACACTTTGTGCACAACATGCAATTAAGGGCACATACATAAAAAGGTTATTTAAGGACGGGTTTTGAAGTACACGGTTTGTACAAATAAGGTAAGAAGATCAATTAACCACCAGTAAATCAAATGGTCTGAGATTTTGTATGAATGAACCAAGTCAGAAAAAGTGAAGAAGGGTTTTACTTAGGTCGAGTAACAGAGAAAATCAGTAAACAATGGAAAGAAAGAAATCAAGCTATATTCAGAAGGAAGCTTGAACTAATTGCAAATTTGAAAACCATTTAGAGGGAAATTCATCATATATAAAGAGCATGTGAGCATGAAAGAAGACCGGTATGTTACTGTAAAATCTATAGAGAAATCCAGTGTAGAAGAGTTTTAGTAAAAAGGTCAAAATCACATAAAAACAAGGAAGCCCCAAACTCAATTCAGAGTCTTGAGGTTGGTCTGAAAGAATTAGGGGTTTTGAAATAAAATCCTAGTTCAATCGAATCCCATAATCAAACTTGGCGGAATCCCCAAATTCTAGGGTTTCCACCTTGAATTAAGTACAGCGATGAGAAGGCAAGTAGTCAAAACAGGCTCAGAGGTTTCAGAACTAAAACCTCTTGCATGTTCCTTTCAGCAGCAGAAACTCATAAGAAAACATGATAACAAAGTAACATGCAAACACAGTAGAAGCATTCAAGGAAAAATAAAGGAAAAATACTGATAGGAACAGTAGAAGAAGCATGCTTAAAGAGGTTTTCTAGAAGAACTTTAAACAGAGCTCAGTAGAAGGAAAATAGTAAAACACTTAAGAACACAGTAGCAAAATATAGTAGGCGAGACATAACAGAACATGGTAGAAAAGCATACACGAACATAGTATAGAAAACATAGTAGAAGAACATACGAGGACATGGTAGAAGAAAAAGCACAAGGGCACAGTAAAAACATACGAGATCATAATATAGGAAAGCACAGTAAGAGAAGCATATAAGAACATGAACAAGAACACAGTATAGACAAATACACACGAATGCCAAAGAAAAATCATAAAAACACTTAAACACTTTTCGGAAAACCCTAAATCAGAAAGAAAGGTTTTGAAAGTGATTTTTGAAAGAAAAGCTAGGGAAATCATTTGAAAACTCAGGGAAAGCATAGATGCACCACGCTAAAGAAATCGGAGAAAACCTCGAAGGGTTAGGGTTTCAGAAGAACCCTAGAAATGAGAAAGGCTTTGAGAGGTCACCGATCTGCGTCGGAGAGGTCAGAACCAGGCTCAAACAACCATGGTACGTCGGAGCAAGGCCGGTGATGACCCTGAGACCTCGAATCGACGGTGGTCTGGGTTCAACCCTTCATAGTCAGGCCTCGAATCTTCAGGTATCAGGCACGTAAGAGCACCAGGAGGTAGGTGTAAGACTCCTATAGCTTTGATGGCCATAGATTCCGATGGATTTCAGGGCGGAGGTGGCTAGGGTTAGAGAAGGTTCGAGAGTGTTTGAGAGAAGGGAGGGTTTCAGAGGCGGCGGATAATTGAAAATGATTTAGGGTTGGGGGGTTTGGTAAATTAAAAAAGGAAAGAATGCGTGTGAGCCGTTGATCTGTTAGATCAACAGCTGGGATTAAAAGAAGGGGTCCGGGCGGGTCATTTGAGTGGGTCAGGGGCGGGTAATTTAGGAATTGGGCCGGGTAATTTGGGATTGGGATTGGGTTTAATTGGGGGGTTGTTTTAGGCTAAAATTGAAATGGTTAGGGCTAGCATTTAAATAGCCATTTTTTCCCTTTTTATTTTATAAAAATAGCAAAATCATTTCTGGAAACAAATTAAAGGTACTAAATTAATTAATAATGTATAAATATTGAATTAAAAATACTGGAGTCAATTTTACAATTATAAACGCAATTAATTCTTAAAATAGGCTAATATTGCAATTACATGCAATTTAGCTTTAAAATACTAAATAAATTTGTAAAAAATGTGCAAAAAAATACCTTAGCTATATTTTGGTATAAATTTGAAAATACAATAAATGAATCACAAAAATGATCATTTGGGAAATAATTATTGATTTTATATTGATAAAATAGGGTAATAAATTGATTTAAAAAAAATAATAAAACACCTAGGCATATATATGCACACATATGCTATTTTGAAAGGTATTTTGCATATAAAAATATACAGGAAAAAATTGGGTATCAACATCGTGGGGGGCTCCTAAGCCACCTTGGGATCGGTCTCGGCATCTGCGACCGGGTGGGAAGATGAAAGGGCAGCCTGCTGAGGCACTAACTTGGAAGTTTTAGCCATTATAATCTGGAAAATATAGGTTTGAAGAAAAATATGAAGATTTGAAGTTTGTATGAAGGTATGAAGGTCTGGGATGAAGGTTCAAAGAAGAAGTATAAAGATGAAGATGAAGATATGAAGGCTCAATGAACAATGTATAAAGATCTGGAGAATTTAAAAGTCGTTAGAATGTTCGAAGGTAAAGTTTAGAATCAGAAAGTGGATGAAGTGATGAATGTTGAAGCTTTTATAGGGGAAAGGCCAGTCAATATGCGACGATGTTTCGCATTCGAAGACAGTCAGCCGATGACTGACACGTGTCCGAAGTCAGAGCGACACGACTGATAGGATATTTTGATTTACTCGTCACCTCAGTTATAACGTACGAGGGAAGATACTGGGGTTCATCTATTGTTTCCCATCGTTCCGGCAAACCTACTCTCCAGAAAACAGGGGGACTATATGTATACGGGTAAAATCGGGGATAGAGCATACTGCGATTTCCCGGTGAAGAAAACAGAAGAAGGGCACGGACGCATGAGACTGAAATCGAGGTCGGGAATCTTTCGTATTGAGACCCATGAAAGAAGAACGATGTGTTCATCACCAGGTATGATAAAGCAACGCTCCCCAGAACCAAAACGAGTTCTAAAACCTTGGGAAACACGGTAAATAGTTATACACGACGGATAAATGGCCATGATATTCGTACCCGATCGGATATCACAGCGCGGATCTCGCTCGACGCCAGTTACAGATTAGTAACTAATGGAAAAGGAAGATCTTTTACCTTTTTTAGACTTGTACTAGGGAAGAAACTCTCCTACTATATAAAGGGGGGGGGGGGTTCTTTCTTTTGATAAACACATTGTAACACGCAAATCACGGCAATACAAATTCATTTCTCTGCTCTCTAGCAATTGCAGAAGCTCTTACTTAACCGTTTGTTCTTCCTCCGATTTGGGTTCGAACCAAGGGTCCGATCGAGGGCAAAACTACTGTTCAATCTAAACTCGAGCTAGGCCGTAATATTACTACTGGTTTGAGCATTCATTTTATCTTTAACTCCTATATCTAGTATTCTTGATTATTTGTGTTGAATTAATCCGCATATCCTTAGAACCGTGTACAAATTTAATTGTTATCTGATTTTAGGGCAAACATATACTATTAATTTTTGGGTGTATACATGAATCCAAAACTTTATCTTTAGGATTTGGCATCTTTTATATTTATCAAGGGGTTCTTTAAACGCCAAGTATATTGTTGCGTTTAAATTTCACTTTTGCATAAATATATAAAGCTCTTTATAGTTAAAACTAGGCATGATAGCAACCCATTTTCATGCACATGGGACAAGTAGAGTTAATAAGGTTGAGAAAAGGTCCCCCCATATCGCAGTGGTCTTTAAAATCATTAGGTCCTCGTCTAGTCTTTAATTTATTGTAGTAAAGACTTGACATCGAAGCATTAATTATTTCACCAACCTCCATCTCTCTTACTATACAACAAGTGTGGTAGTGAATGCTTTCTTTCGGTACCTTTTCTGATTATTCAAGAAAGTGATAAGACCCACCCCACCTATAAATTATTACCCTCGAAAAATGTTGCATGTTGAGAATTTTGTAATTCAAAATTAATACTTGAAAACATTTTCTCTTTACCTTTCTCCATTTAAATATTAGGTTTTTGTTTGTGGCACCTGTGACATACACCTTAACTCACACATCACACGTTGTGCTCTACGCCTCTATCAATAAACAAAAGCCGCGGGGCGGTATGCTTAATTTGTGTAAAAAGAAATCAAATGTCTTAAGATGGTCACCAGACCAAAAATTCAAGAAATGCCACTGAATGGTGGCCTACTTTGATGTTTTCATTTCATCACAAATCCATGTGGGGCTTAAAGAGGCTTCTGCTATAAAAATACAAAGGATGTATTTTTCAGCTTTGTATGGACAACAACATCAAACAAACACAAGACAAGTCAGAGACAGAAGTTGGATGTCTCAATACTACATAAAGACAATGCCCCCAAACTGGAGCTGGTGAAGAGAAATCCAGTTATTTAAATAACAACATATAAAAGATTTAACAAATGAGATAGATATTTGGATATGGTAAATAACAACAGGATAATGACCTTCTCCAAATGTATGTCCTGTCTTCTAAGAAACTAACTGAATTCCTGTTCACCACAAAACTCATTCTCTATAATCTTGTTTTCCACAAACACCTTATAATATTACTCTATCTCCTCTGGACTTTCTGATGGACATCGGATTAACTCCAAGATTTTGATCACTTCTTCCATATCTGGTCGATTTGATGGAACTTGAGATGCACATATTAAACCAAGTTTCACAACTGGAATTGCCTCTTCGACGGGGAAATGACCTTGGAGCCGTTGGTCAATGCACTCTTCTATCCTGCCTTCTTCCAATGCCCCCCGCACCATGTCACATAATACAAGCACATCATCTTCCATGTACTCCACGGGTCTTTTCCCTGTCACCACCTCAAGAGTCAAGATACCAAATCCATAGACATCACATTTCTCAGTTATCTTTACCGTTTGGCAAGCAAATTCAGGAGCCATATATCCAAGTGCACTCTGAATCTTGCTGCTCAAGATGTAACGATCCAAGATGGGTAATAAACGAGCCAAGCCAAAATCTCCAACTTTGGCATTGGCAGAAGCATTGTCTATGAGGACATTAGTTGACTTCATATTGTAGTGAATAATGCTCAGCTGGTGCAGATAGGCTAAGCCCTTGGCAGTATCAAGAATAATGTTGAATCGTTGCTGCCAAGAGAGACTGCTTTTAGAGCTTTCCTCATGGAGTAATTTGTACAAGCTTCCACCAGATACATATTCATTAATCAGAAGTTGAAGAGAAGGAGTCCAATAATAACCTTCAAGTGTCACTAGGTTAAGGTGTCTGATGCTTCCGAGACTTTTCATTTCACTCTCAAAATCGTCTTGTGACTTGATCAAACTCGTAATGTTGAGCTTCTTGATGGCAACAGAACGTCCATCTCCAAGTTCTGTCTTGTAAACGGCTCCGAAACCACCACGTCCAAGTTCGTTACCCTTGTTGAGCAGCGCTTGAGTTCCAGCAACAAAATCTGCATCACCAGAGAACATAACAAGTTTGCCGAGGTTGGCTTCTGTACCATGTGAATGGCTATAGTCATCGCCACCAGATAAGGTGAAAGTTGCAGCAGAGAGTGCCATAGAAGAGCGCACGTGTAGATTGAGAATACTGACAACCACTACTCCAAGAGCTATGAAAACTGCCGCTCCGATGGCAATGAGAGATGATATACTGAGCATGATTCTCTTACGACCAAGCGAATTAACAGAACCATGACTCGAGTCAGATGAATTGGGGTTTAGTACTAGAGGCTTGGGATGGACCGCAGGGCAAGAGTGGTTGAGAACAGAACCACAAAGGGATGGATTACCAACAACAGATGAGGGAGAAATGGTGTTGAAAAAGCCACCTACTGGAAGTTCACCTTTGAGATGGTTGTGGGATACATTAAATGTGATAAGGTGGGAAAGGTTGGTTAGTTCTTTAGGCAAGCTCCCGGAAATTTGGTTAAAAGAGAAATCCACTACCTCAAGAATGGTCAACTTAGCAATCTCTGGAGGGATAGGGCCAGTGAGGTTGTTGTGTGACAGGTCCCTACATAATCAAAAATGCACAACAGGTGACTCGTAGAATCAAACAGCGATAACAATTGCGAACAACAAGAAAGAAGAAAACATGATAAAAAAGCTAAAAACTACCTTACTTGATGTAACAGTGGGTAAGAATACAAAAAAAGCACACATTTAAGAGAATATGAGATGGAAGTAGATAGAAACTTACAATGAAGTTAGAGCGGAGCAATTTGCTATATCCGCAGGAATTGTACCACTCAGATGATTTTCTCTCAACTTCAGTTCCAGCAATGAAACAGCGCTCCCAATTTCATGAGGAATGCTTCCATTAAGTTGATTGTGACTTAAATCAAGAACTCGGGTTGCATTTAGTTTACCTACAGCTTCTGGGATAATACCGGTCAAAAAGTTCCGGGAAATATTCATGACCTGCAAGCTATTCATGTTCCAAATGGCAGACGGTATTTCACCAGATAATGCATTGGAGGACAAATCCAAAACTTGAAGGCTTTGATAGGAAGCAGCTATGGACATTGGCGGATAATCTATACTTCCGGTAAACCTATTCCCCGAGAGGGAAATGCTCTTTAGTCCCAATGTGAAGGTCCAAGAAGGAAGATTACCAGTCAAGAAGTTGTGCCCAATGTCCAAGATTACAAGGTTAATGCACTTCATCAAGGACCGAGGCAAGCTTCCAACAAACTGATTATTCGATAAATTCAGTTTCGTTAGCAATGGAAGATCTCCCATAGAGCTCGGTATCCTACCAGAAAGATTATTTGCAGAAAGATCCAAAACTTGCAGGCTTTTCATTTCAGCTATCCAATCTGGAATCTCCCCATTGAATGAATTTGATCTTAAATCCAAAGTGGTACATAAACCAAGTCTTCTCATAGATTCAGGAAGGCCTCCACTAAGCAAATTCTCACTGAGATCAATAGACTTAAGCTGCACACAGTTCCCAATATTTTCAGGCAGCCAACCGGTGAACTTGTTTTTCTGCAAATTAATTGACCTCAAAGAATATAAACTCTCAATTGCTTTAGGAATCTCACCCTCCAATACATTATCAGAAACATCGAGGTATCGAAGAGAGCTCAGGGACCATAACCCTGAGGGTAATTGGCCTGAAAGCCCGTTCGACGAAAAGTTAACGCTTTCTAGTGTTGAGCAAGAGGTTAAAGAATCAGGGATTTGGCCAGTGAGATTATTCTTGGCAAAGGAAACAGCTTGTAGAGACCCACATTGTCTAAAAAAATCATCAGGAATTGACCCTGACAAATTGTTATCACTCAAATCAATAACCCTCAAACTTGGTATTTGGGCAAGAATGGGATTAATATTGCCAGTAAAGTTATTGTTAGACAAAGATAAAACCCTCAAGAATTGTAACCTCAACAGGCTTCTCCCTATATGCCCAGAAAGAGAGAAATTGTCAAGCAGAATCTCAGAAACTCTATTGGAATAAGGATCACATTTTATACCAACCCAATTACAAGGAGTAGCATCATCTTCAGTCCAAGATGTAAGCTTTGATTTAGGGTCAGTGAATCCAGCTTTGAATACAATTAAACCCATTACATCATCATTAAATGCAGGGTCTAAACACTCCACAAGAAATGGAGTTAAGGATAAAACAGTTAATATATGCAGTAACATTTTCAAATAAAAATCTCCACCAACAACAACAAAAAAAAAAAGAACCAACAGTTGAGTTGTATTAAAATCAAGAAATGAAAAGGGTATTAAGAGGAGATGTTAACAGAAAGAAATGACAAGAGGGTGTGAGGAAATGAAATGCAAATAGCATATGTAACAGAAAAGAAACAAAATCCAGCAAACACAAAGCTTAAAGAAGAATCTTCACTGAAATAGGTAAAGAGAAAAGAGAAACATTCTCACTGCTTGGAGATATAGAGGGAAGAAAAAGGGGTGCTTTGTTAAGTTGTAAATTGTGCTGCAAGAATGTGACACCTTCACCACAAAGCAAAGAAACCACTAAAGAGAGGAACTTTTTGTTAGAAGGGGGATGACAGTTTTTAGAATAGAAGAAGAGGAGACTGATGGGGCAATTAAAGAGTTTGTCAGTCAGTAGTGTGTGAGAGAGATATAGAGAAAGAGAGAGAAGCTCAGACTGGTTCTTTTTTTTTAAAATTCTGCAGTTACTGAGTTATTTGATGTGTTGTATTGGGAGGAAGAGAGAATTAAAAGCTGGTGGATTCAATGATTTTGTTTAGTCAAATTTGAAGTGTTGCTTTGTTTAATGAAGTAGTAGTAAAGTATAAAGTGGGGTTTTTTTTTTTTGTAGGTGAAGAGATTTGGGAGTATAGAGAGAGTGTAACGGCGAAAAAGCAGCAGTTGTCTGTGCTGAGTGGCCTTTATTATGCCCCACTACTTTGCCGGTTTCTACTTAGGGCTGAGCTATCGGGTAAAATCGATAGTCCGAACCAAAAAAAATTTATTGGATTATAAGTAACGGGCTATTGGATTAACAGTAGAGTAGTTATTTTGCTATTGGGTTATCGGTTCAGGTCTCGATTTATCCAATTTTATTAAAGGTTTAACCAATAACCTAATAAACTTTATAAAATAAAATTTTACCCTTAGGTATATAAAATTTTCAGTTCCCAATTCTCCATCTACGGTTGTAACCATCCAAAATTTGTCATTCCACACATAGAGAAATAATGTTGTAAGGCTTATCATATTCTTTGAGAGGGTTACAACAGTAGAGAAAGTTTATCATATTCTTTATATGGCACACATTACCCTTCATTATTTCTTCCCTCTACAATCTAGATTGAGTTATCTTATCGGGTAAATCAATAACCGAACCGATAATGATCGATAACTGATTAGCCAATATTCGATATCTTATCGGTTTAGCATATTTATAAACCGATAACTGATATGCAAAATCGATAACATTCATAATCGAACCGAACCGACTGATGCCCACCCCTAATTTCTACTTGATAAAATCAGTTGTTTAACAACTTTTGATTACTCCTCCCAAGAGCTACTCACGTTGCTCCCTTGGTGACTCAGAATCCGCAATCTCAGAATTGGAGGTAAAGAGTATTTACTGTTGGGGCATATACTATTAACCATGCGTTTAGATATAGTATATTCTGACAATTGTCATGGTTAAAAGTCTAAGTGCTCGTGTTGGGATATATACTATTAACCATGGATTTGGTTTAGATATAGTATTTCTTATGATAATATTGTTCATTCAATTTTAATAAAGTTTTAATAGATCATATATTAGTCGGCGTCCTTTGCTTATATAGTAGATGATTTAGTGTATAGACTTTAGCTTATACACGGAAGGTTAAATCATCGGTTCTTATAAGTATAAAGTTTGAGTTCACAATCTAATGATGGAATTGGACAAACCATCAGGAATGATTGTAGCACAAGATTAAATATAATTTATCTTGATTATGGAAATGGTTTAATTCCAACTTTTTGTGCTAGTACATTTTGTATGTATTGAACGGACCGAGAAGAGATAAGTATTTATACTGACTTAATAAAATAAACTCTCTAGCCGTTAAATGTACTTATACTCTTAATCTTAATCTTGATATAATTATTATTAGCTGTGTATATTATTATTGTTTTGATTTATTAAAAGGCGAGATTCTTTCGTGGGTCAATATGCCTCGTAAATTGGATAATAATAATGTACATTGGCGAAGTAATAGTTAGTTGATGGAATCCATGTGTCGGTTTAGAGATTGATGATACACTTATAAGTTTTCATGTGTAAACTCGACCGGTGGATTTTGTATCCGACACATGAAATAAGTTAAGCGAAAGTCTAAAGGAAACAATCAATAAATTAAATCGTCAGTAATTTAATTTAATTGATTAGTATCTGAATCTTAACATGGGGAGTTAAATAAGATTTAATGGATGAATTTCGAAATTGAATAAGGAGTGCAATTACGAATTTTTAGAGGAATAATTCGTAATTAATTATGGTAGATAGTAATTTCGAAAATTAGAAATTAATTCCATAATTGGAGCCTTGTTAATTAAATTATGTGGTCTTTGCTGTGCCTAAATAATAGAAAATAAAGGAATCCTTTTTCTGGTGGAAAGAAAAACCTAATAGGTTTTGGAAAAGGGTTTTAACCCTTAAAACTTGTGTTATAAATACATAAGGTTTTCCACCTAGAGGGAGTAGTCATAGTGGCCGAAATTTTCAGCCTTTTTTCCTAGAAAATTTCGCCCACACGAAATTACTATTTTCGGGTATTATTTGGGTAACACAGTAGAAGACCGTGGAACGTCCGGAGATCGTGATCGTGTGGGTGGTGGAGAATTCATTAAGTTGCTGTGGAATTGGAGGCTCACGTGATAAACGAGTTTTGTTCACGCTTCAAGAGGTAACCCGTGAAATCCCGTTTATACTAGTTGTCTAGATTACATGTGATTTTGATACTGGGATTGCTTCCGCAGCGTATAATAATCCTTCAATTACTATTGAAGCAACTCTCTTGCAATCAGTTCAGCTTTAACTTTGTCGTTTGTATAATTTTTTTTTTTTTTTTTTAGTTTTGCCCTCGACGTTCGGCTTTAGAGTACGATTAATTCAAATTCGCGCAATTTTGGAAGATAAAACCTCCTACCAAAAGCAATCGTTTTTCTAAGCTCTAACATGAGATCTCTGAGTAGGATAAATGATTGCTTATCATCCTACTATAATTTTTTTCCTATTATATCGAAAAGGGGAAGGGAAAAGAAAATGGAAGGGGCAGAATGAAAATTCAACTTTCATTTATCGTGTGAAATATCTCACCATTACTACTAAACTATTAGTCCATTAAGTCTCGGAGTTTGACAATTTAGTCTTATGTGAGTTTTTTATCCTATTTCGTTTCGATTTAGTTTTCTTTTAATTGTTATATCTTTATTTTTAAGAAAGATGGCTCTATAAGGGAAATGATAAATATTATACATAATATAAATAAGAAGTTAATTTGATTTTCTTGTTTGCATGTATTCTCTAATCCATGAGAATCAAACTTTACCCTTCCATAAGCCATTAGTATTATTTTCTTTATTTTCCTTTTCTTCTTTTAACTTTATCCATGTAAATGTATACTATGTCTGAAACCCGGAGAGTGGAGTAAAGTTATGGTAGAATACTGACCAATCTAAGTAATCAGACTATAATACTTTTTTATATAGAAAATTCATATAGCCAACGGATGTATAAATAAATTATTCAGAATCCAATACGTTATCTTTTGCTAAAATAAACCCATAAACTCAAAATCTTAGCTTCGCCTGTATTAACCGCTACTGCTGCGAATTTACCAGTAATCTTTTGCAAGTGCAAACATAGTTTACGGTCAAAGTGGAATCTTTGGCATTAGAGATCTCAAAATTGAAACTATTACTTGGTAACTATGAGGAATGAAGTCTGACATAACCTCTCTATAAAATTTATTTAGGTGCATACTTTTTTTATTTAGCCCGATTATCAAGAGAAGAGGTAAAAATATATGACTTTATATTTTAAGAAAAAAGTAAACAATATTTTAGTGATAGTCCTCAAGTTAGAATTGGACAAGTAAGTATATAGATGGATAGAATGTTAACTAGTGGCGAAATTAAAATTTTCACTGAGGGGATCCACAATATAAATAAGTAACATACAAAGAAGTCAAAGGAATTTATCATCTACTATATATACATACGAAATAGTTTTGAACTTATATATGCAATATAATTTTTCTGGTGAAGGAGATTCGGATTCCTAGTTCCGCATCTGGTGTTAAGTACCATAAATTTGGTTGCAAAATATTAGTCCAAATACTTCATTTCATTTTTTTAGTTAATGATCGTCAATTAATCATACATTTCTTTTATAAATAGGGTAAGGATATATTGTTACGATCTAAAATCTAACTAGTCGTGATGGCACCTAAACCCAACCCGCTAGATAAACCAATTAACAATAATCCAATTCAAATGAGATTAAGTGATGAAATAACTTAACTTTAATAAACTTCCGAAAGACTGGTAGTACAAATCATGAGCTTCTAAGAGTTAGAGTTTACAAAGCTGGTATGAAATAAATGCATCATCTGTCTAAAATATACATGAACAGATTAATAATTCTAAAGCTACCAAGAACAAGGGCAGCTATGACCGGAACACAGGTATATCATCAATGCCAGCTCCCGCCGCACACAACAATAACAACATCCAAAATCTGCACGCAAGGTGCAGAAGTGTAGTATGAGTACAACCGACTCCATGTACTCAATAAGTAATAAACATAACCTTAGATTGAAAGTAGTGACGAGTTGGGACAAAGGTCAAAGTCCAACACCAATAGCCAATAACAACTCATAATAATATAATAATAATAGTACAAGAAATAATTTAAGGATATGATGCTCAATTCGCTCACAATTATTGAAGATAGGCATGCTTTTTTTTTTCAAGTACAACAGTAAAACTCAAATCTTTCAGCGAAATCATCAAAATATGAGTAAATCAGAAATCTATGATTTTTCCCAAAACCTTTCAACAACAAATGAGAAGTTTCATTATCAGATGGCATGAGGAAAATACATCTTTGTGCCTACATGTCAATGTACATGCGAAATCATTAATGTCACAATGACGTATAGCATGAGAAAATCCATCTCAATATCTGCATGCCAAGTATGCATGCCAACTATAACTTAGTATAGTGATAAAAATCATATGCATCCTTTCGGGATATCAATTCACTCAGTCCTCCCAATCACTCAATCCTCACAGTCATTCAGTCCTCGCGCCACTATTCCTCCCAATCACTCGGCACTCGCGCTCGGCGCTCGGACTCGCACTCAGTAGGTACCTGCGCTCACTGCAGACATGTCATACTCTGGAGGGGCAGATCCTGCCCAAGCGCTAATAGAAGCCAATCATGGCATGAATCAATAAAACTTGTTGCGGCATGTCGCCCGATCCCATAAACAGTCTCATAATTAGGCCTTCGGCCTCACTCAGTCATCAATCTCTCCAGTCTCTCGGGTTCACAAATATCATAAAAATCAGCCCAAACAACGGTAATATGATGTATTAATATATGGCAACAGAGACTGAGATATGATATGGCAAATGAATGAGTATGATTGAGTATGTAATTGCAATGTAAGCAAATAACTCAACAATAGAAATGACCTCATTGGGTCCCAACAGGATAAGCATATAGCCTAGACATGGTTTCTAACATGGATCACAACTCAATTACTCTAGCACGTAGAAATTTCATGAATAGAAACAAGATTAGGTCACTA